ACTTGTTTTTCCCAAACCGCATCATATGTGCAGTCGACAGTAAGTTAATGATCTTTTGTTTTCGTGTTTTACCAGTGTTGCCCTTGCGATATTCTATCACATAAGAAACAGGTAAGAACATATTTGCACCGGCCGGTAATTCTGTCTCTTTCCTTTTTGTTGGTCGGTGCGCAGTTTTGAATCAATTGATATTTTTTGTGTTCCGCAATAAGGAATCCAGTGAAACGGTCCGCTCATGCATTTTTGAAGTGGTGGTCGTGTCCTGGGCAAATGTGAAATGCGCTTTGATGTGTCTTGCTGTCTGTTATTCCAGAGAGGTCGACGGAAGAATGTTATTAGACATATTCGATGAGAAGCTGCACCCGTTGTCGGTAAGGGAGTCATTGAATGTACAGTACGTGATACTTGTGTTATGCGAAAGCTGTTTTAACGGTCGATTGCGTGCCATTCCGAGTCTTATTATTATTATTTGAATTATTAGTTACCTAACCACTATGTCTGGTGCCCTGTGCATCGTATCGTCACCGCAGAAATCAGAAGTTCCTCCGGACTACGATAAGCACGACCCTGAGCAAAAGCAGATTTATCGCTTCGTAAGGACGCTGTTCAGCGCCGCGCAGCTCACGGCCGAATGTGCCATTGTCACATTGGTGAGTGTGCGCGCTGTCAATGTGTGTATGTTTAAGCGCTGGGGCCAGTTTTTGGGTGCTGCCTACCTCATAATGCAGTCTGCTATTGTATTAGTTATTTTAATATACTGTGGCCCGTTGTTTTTCTTTCCTTTTTGAAATGTACACACGTAAGATTCCATTGGTCGGCTGTGGCATGGTTCATCTGCGAAACACAAAGATAATGTCACACTTATCATAGGATGTCGTAAAAAATAAGGCACCCCGGTTGAATTGGACGATACGTTTCAGCAACTCCATTATTATGGCACCTCTGCCGGAAAAAAAATGGCACTACCTCAACACACGTCACAAAACTGCTTCTTGCAGCACAAAAATGTTTTAAAATTGAAAGTTAAAGGTGATCTAATTACGTAATAAGTGTTTGTTTGTTTTTTTTTAATCTGAGCGCAAGCTACATATGGCTCAAAAAACTATGCACTAATCAGTATTCATCATTCTCTTTGTCAAAAGGTGTATTTAGAGAGGCTCCTGACCTATGCCGAGATTGACATTTGCCCCGCCAACTGGAAGCGCATTGTTTTAGGAGCCATCCTTCTGGCATCCAAAGTTTGGGATGACCAGGCGGTGTGGAATGTCGACTACTGCCAAATTCTCAAGGATATCACTGTGGAGGACATGTGAGTGATATGAAAACATTTCACCTCATATTTTTTCTGTATTTGTTTTGTTTTGAAAGTGGCTTTACCAGAATTCCCAATTGTGGAGTGAAAATCTAAATCGGGGGGGTTGGCTTGGCTTCAAATTTTGCCTTTGCCCTTTCAGCACAAACATGCACAAACGCTCACTGAAGTGAGACGTGATGGTGATCAAGGAAAGATCACGAATGAAAGCGAGGAAAGCACCTTGAGGACCAGCACACCCGCTGACCCGTTTTCCCTTTCTGTCTTTATTGGAGGCAATCTTGTCTGTGTTTATTCTGAGAAGGAACACAACACTGTTGCCACCGCTTGACCTCCAACCCCTGTCGGAGTCATTCTCGTCCCCACCGTTAGTTGTGCGATCCTGTCCTTGGCCTCAGAAATCCCTCAGCCATGACTGTAAGCCACCTGTTTGGGCAATCCGCCTGGGAGTTGTGCCAGACAAGCGTGTGCGCATCTGTGTGTATCTTTGTGGCATCAGAATAGCTGGACGATTGCCACAGTTCGAAATGTTAGGCAGAATTTGGTTGTCACCGAGGCTAACTTTAGCCTGCGTGTTGCCGTCCACCTGGAAATGAGCGCGGGCGGCGGACAAAGTCCCCTGAAAAATAGAACTGAAATGCATCTAGCAATACAACTTGAATGGACGGAACCGAAGCAAGTGGACGTGTTTGTTTCGAGTCGATGAGCAGTGTTAACTCACGGGCTCTCTTTATCCAAACAAGGAACGAGTTGGAGCGGCAGTTTCTGGAGCTGCTGCAATTCAACATCAACGTGCCGTCCAGTGTCTACGCCAAGTATTACTTTGACCTGCGTTCCCTGGCAGAGGCCAACAACCTCAGCTTCCCTCTCGAGGCCCTCAGCAGGGACAAGGCCCAGAAACTTGAGGTTAGCAATGGTCGGATAATTTGGTATGATGTGGCCCCTGGGCCTCAAGTTTGACGTGTTTCTGAGACTGAGTGAGGATACTTTGCACTTTTGAATGTGACAACGTGCGTCGCCTTCACCTCTACCTCTCATTATTATTATTATTTTTATTTTTTTCACCCCCAGGCTATATCCAGGTTGTGCGATGACAAATACAAGGACCTGAAGAAGCTCGCAAAGAAGCGGTCAGTGAGCGCAGACAACCTGTCGGTTGTGCGGTGGTGTCCGGCCATCATTTCCTAACGATGGCCGCCAGCAGCACCCAGAAAGTGGAACCTGTCAGCTGACTCTGCCTGCTCAGCAGGCAAACGAGGCGGGCAGCTGTCCTGTGGATATGTGGCTCTGTCTCCCTGATGAGACACGCAAACACAATCTGGCACTTTTACCAAGCAAGATTGCACCTCTCCAGTTGTTGTAAATAACAATGCACTGACCCGGAGCGGAACCGAACTGAAGTGTGCGAGTGCAACAAAATGAAGACGTGCAGAAGTGAAGTTGAAATGGGACGCGGAGACCGTCGGCGTCGGAAGGGAGATCAAGTAGCAGCGTGGCTGCATTCCTGTCATTTTAAACCTCTTCCTCCGTTTCCGGCTTATTTTTAAGAGCTCATCGACAGTTTTAAATTCGAGCTCTCTTCCAGTTTCGCATGTTTTGTTTGTATCACGTTTCTGCCCATTCCCATTTCAATACGACACAACTCTTTGTGTACATTCCATTCTGCATATCGGCACCTGTTCATGGATGTATGTATTTTACACGGGGTTGATTTAGCAAACAACCTTCTTCCACCTGGCATTCCTGCTTTGTGAGCCAACAGCGTCAAAGAAAAACGGTGTTTGACACTTTTGACAGGACTGGTGAAGCTTCTTCCGATCCAACTCGGACATTGACTTCAAGCAATATTCATGCATCGCCTCATTGGTGCGATCAGGTCGAATGAAGCATGGTGGGGGGGTGGGGGGCACGCTGTCATCCACTTCTAAGTCCGAGATGTACTTCAAAGGTGACGGCGTACTTTCTTCACTGCCATCGTCCTAACCTGTGGTGCCTGTAAGAACCGACTTCAACTCCTTACCACTGATGAACGGAACAAATAACTAACAAAGAACTTTTTATCCCCACGCCATTTTGTATGGTTCTTCCTGCTCATGACTAAACAGCACAAGTGAACACTCTGTATTCAGAAGCTACTAAAAACATGTCTCTTCAGGGTAGTTTTGTGTTCTGGAGACGAGCTGAATGACTAGTATTATTCAATGTGATCATTATCTAACACTGTTCACGCACAGATTGTATACGTTTTGCTAAGTTGTCTTTATATAGTGTGCATAGCGGTGCCAGTGTGCAACATCTGCGGTCGTACCGTTAGAATATTTATATTGGATCCGTTTCTACTGTACACGAGGTGGGCCGCAACGGCGACAAATCATTCAAAGAACCTGAGATAAAACGATTTCAGTGGGAGCCACCGTCAAAAACGTTTGTCTTGTTTCTTATGACAGTGTTTTCTACTCACAGAAAGTTGTCGTGTTAAAACGTGGTACATAGGGCAATAACAATTATAGGCACACAGTCAATGATTTGATCCGATTTTTTTTTTTAAAAGCGAGTCTGGGACGATTGTGTCATATTTTCTTGAAATGAAGAAGCTCATGTTATTTGGACGGCCACACTGGCAAATTGTTGTCTGGAAGTTGAAAAATCTTGCCGGGTGCTTCACTGCATTGTATTGTAAATGGAATTTATATAAAAAAATATATATCGTTATAAAAACAACAATATGAGATGAATTTGTTTCCATTAACTTTTTTTTTTCTGAAACATGCTTTCGGCATCAAGATGTGACTGCAGTGTGCAGTCACTTAACGACTTATAACTTGATTTATTTTGAGAGATGGCTTGCACATAGCAGGAAAGAATCATGATCTCCATATTTTTCCTTCACTTAGCTTGCTTGCTCGCAATTTCACACAAATTTGGGCCAAAGATGTAGAATCCAAATTAATTGTATAATTTTACATACAGTATTTGTCAAGGAAATCGAAATCATTGCAAGAATAAGAACATGATTTTGGTAACCTTTAGTTGAATAAAAAAAACCTATGAAAGCTGTTAACAATATTTAGGATCATTCTGCCACACTTGACAGTCTGGTCCCAAATCAGGTCCTTGTTATTTCTGGCTCTGACCAGCAGGTGCCAGAAGGGAAGACGTGGAACCAAAGTGCCGGAGGCCCAAAGGCGGTTCAAGCTGGCCTTGGAGGTAGAAGGACTACATTGCACAGTGCAAAGTGTTGAAAGGTGTTCTTGTATTTTGGAGATTCTTTATTTCACGATTGTATCGCCCAATCATATGTTCACACAGCCGAATCGAATGTTTCAAGTGACCCAGAAGCAAAATGGGGAACAGCTGCCAAGAACAGGTGGGCAATCTGACGACAGCACCTCATAGAGGTTGTTACATTTTTTGGGGGGGCGGGAGATGGGGGTTAGATTTTCTTTGCATTTCTCCTTGGATTTACTTCAAAACCCAAATTCTTACAAATTCTTTTTGTTTGGAAAATTCAAAGTGACTTGCATTCTACAAAAACTGGCAATATGCTTAAAGCCAGTTCCTGAAGATGATAAATTATTTTTCATGCTGCTGTAGCAAAGTGGTTTCATTTTTTTATGCTTTTGCTAGTTTGGATGTGCTTTGAAATTTTGTTTGAATTTAGAACTCGTAACCCCGGAGGTCGCTCGTCTTCCTGTAAGGACGTCCTGCGTCCCCAAAATATCTCTGCAATGCCATGCAGGACAGCGACGTGCCTTTGCAAGCGTGTTAAGAATAGATCCACAATGGGGCTCGCTGCCGTCTTCAGTTGTCTGCCGGGGACTCAGGGCGAGGAAGTTCGGGAGCATTTCCCCTGCTTTCTACTTCCGTTAGTTTTGAGGGAAACTCAAAAGGAATCATGTTGGATTGGAGCTCACAAAACTGTTGGGTATGTCCAACTGAGTGTTAGTGAGGTTCCTGCAGGTCTAAGAGAAGACAAAATGCTGAGGTACCGCAAGGAGAGTTAAAGGAGAGGCCCAAAACTTTGGGTGCTGAAAGAATGACTCTGGGCGGACGGAACATGGCGGGATCCAGTCCGTCAGAAATCATCTTTATCTCTGTCAATCAAAGTGTCACCTTGATAGGTGAGTGAATGTTGATTTTTTTTTTTTTTTTGCCGGAAGTTCAGCGCGCTTCTAATCCTGTCATGCGTTTAATTCAGGAAAAGTGTGGCTGGTCCTGATGATCTTTCTCCGCGGCCTCATCCTCCTCCTGGCTGGTTACCCTCTCTACCAGGACGAAGAGGAGCGCTTTGTATGCAACACGATTCAACCGGGCTGTGCCAATGTGTGCTACGATATATTTTCCCCGATCTCCCTTTTCCGCTTCTGGCTCGTGCAACTCGTCACCTTAAGTCTGCCCTACATCATCTTTACAATCTATGTGACGCATAAGGTGTCAAATGGCCTGGATGTAGCCCCGAACTCTTTGGGTCCTGGTCAAACTATGCAACTGCACAAGACCCGGCAAGAGCTGTCCGTCAAGACCTCGGGGGGAAAAAAGCGAGAGTTGGTCCGATGTTTCACGGGTGCCTACATATTTCAGTTGATGCTCCGGACTTTGCTGGAGGCAGGATTTGGGGCGGCACACTATTATATGTTTGGTTTCTCCATCCCGAGGAGGTTTCTATGCCAACACCCTCCGTGCACCACCCAGGTGGACTGCTACATCTCAAGACCCACCGAGAAGACGCTGATGCTCAACTTTATGCTTGGCGTGTCCGCCCTGTCCCTTTTCCTAAATGCCCTGGATTTTATTTGTGCAATCAAGCGCTCCATGAGGCAAAAGAGTAAAAGAAAGTTGATGGAGTGTGTTTATGAGGACGAGCGCGATTTCCTGGGGACCCCTGATCCCAATTTTTCCGTGGGATGTCAAACTCTGGAAACTGAGGCTGGTCCAAGAGGGAGTTTCCGCAAGAGGCAAGGCAGCCGGAGTTCTTGCAAAGGGAGGGCAGTCGGAATAATTCAGGATGCAACCTCAGCCCCTCGCCCTTTGGAACCTTTGGCCTGCAACACCAACAGAAACAATGGATACCCTTTTTCGGAGACGGAGAAGGAAGGTGACGAGCTGGCTCTCTTTTCCTTTGAACCGACGGGGACCCCTAAAGCCATTTGTGTTAGTAAACGGAGCAGGCTCAAACCTCCACCACCCCCCAGGCGGGACCTTGGGCTTCACCCGGCGCTGTCACCAAGACTCAAGAGAGATGAGCCCATGACGACAGAAACCGCTGTGGATAGGATTGGTCAGTACACTTTGGCGGAGCCGGCCAATGGTGCGGACCGATCAAACGATGACGGCCAGGAGAAAAGATCCGAGTGGGTGTGACTTCTTTTTTTTTTCTTTATTCGCAGGGTTGTTATGCAAGATGAGACCGAGCAAATAAGATGTGAGAGCAACTTGAGAGCCAGCTTTACATAGTGGCAACAACTGTTGGATCGCTGGCCGTTCTACCTCACTGCGCGTC